ATATATAAACATATAAATATATACAGTGCTTACGAGTAATGTTGTAAGGGTATTCGTGTAAATTGTTCGGTGTATTACTTTTTCGCGATGTGAATGTGTATAAATCACTATTGTTGTCGGCGTATTATTATTAGCAATATGTTCTTTTTACCTACTCATGCACTGGCCATGTACTCCCAAGACGTTCACCGGACGAATCATGTGCTGATTGCTACTACCTACATTACATCCAAGCAGCGAGCCGATATAAAACATCCAATGTGGACATCAACATAGCAACGTGCACCAACAAAGACTTGCTTGACAAAATGGCAAATATTGCGGACAAGGAGTCGGTTAGCAATGATGAAGATGCGACTAAAGAGCACAGTAAAAGCGTTCCACACCGAGACACACAACAGCCACAACAGCCGTGTAGTCCGGGTGCCTCAAAATCGGATACAAGGACACACATCGATGCATATTCGGACATATACGGGGGCTGGAAAGGGGGTACAGATGGTGGTACTGACGGAGGCACGAGTTCGCCGAAGAGTCCACAAACACACCAAAAGGCATCACCGCCGATGTCCCCGGCCAATCCACTGTCACGTCCATACACCCCGCCCTTGCCATCATCGTTGTCACAAAAGACCACACACAGGCAACTGGCAACCACACACATACAATCACCTCTCCACACACAAGCAAGTACAAACACACAAGGTAATATAGGCTTGCAACTCGGTGCGGAGATGGGCTTTGGAGGGGTCACAGACGACTCAGACGACAAGGTCAACATGAACAGGAGTGAAAGTGTGGGCCGCTTTACCGTGCAAAGGTGGGTGTGACTTAACTTGTGTCTCAGGGCATTCAATGGTTTGTGTATGTGTTTGATGTGTAAGACTGGCTACTTTACAGTGCAAAGGCTTGTAGGAAGATACTGGCGTCCTGCTGTTGTCAACTGTTTGTGCCCGGGATACTGTGTATAATCCGCTATACAGTGAGAAGGTGAGGTGAGGGGACAGATGATAGAGTCATAGCTCGTGTATGTGTTCGATATGTATTCTGCTTTTTAGTGTGAAGGTGTGTGAGAAGGCACTGGTGTCTTGGTGAGTTCGATTAATTGTACAAGTTTAGGGCGTGTAAGCCAGCCATACTGACGTACTTTACTACAATTCGTACATAGTAGGCATTTATTCGACTTCTTTTCTATGCGTTTATCTACATTTTTCATGTGTATACCTGTAGATGGCATTATGTAAACCTCTTTCCCGCCATGTGTAGATGCCTCCTATATATTGACACTGCCATACTGCGTTGACTATCCACAAATACTTCAGTCGCTCTTCGTCGGCAAAATTGAAAAGCCCTGTACAGCATGAGTTCTACCGGACGCCATCACATCTCACGAAGTCCGCAGACGGAATGAAAAATCAGGAATTGGGAGGTAAAATATAGATGCAGATGAACAGATGACTTTGTATGGGCGGGATATGTGCTCTCCATTTTACATATATATATATATATATATACTACACACACACACA